GTTCACTGGGTACGCTGTAGCCCCATTTTAGGTATTCCTATCAGTCATAGGCAGAAGACGGACTTACAAGCCTTCTAGTGTGGTGTTTCTGACTATTCCTTTCTCTCCCTCTCCAGTGTCTACTCTATATTATAATGCAAGGGAAACCAAGATTAAAACAAACTAACTAACAAACAAATAAACAAACAAACAGTCAAGCATCTTAACATGATTCCCCCCCCCATTCCAGCCATGATTCAATCCCTGTATCTCAGAGCCCTGCCGTTCCAAGGCTGTGCATATATCGTCCTCTATCTCTGTCCCATTTAGGAGGTAGGTATACTTTTGCAGTGAGTTTCAGTGGAGCCAGGTAAATGAACTCTTCTTTCTATTAACACATATGGTGTGAAAAAATGCATATGCATGCCAAATGCATTTGTTGATAAGCAGAGATACTTAGACAATTAATATTGTCATCAGCTCTGTTCTTTTTCCAATTGCCAGAGCTTCTTGTACTTCCCCTCACTTTGTTTCTTGTGTTCTTAAACTTATGATCGCATCATCTTATGCTCACATTACATGTTGTTTCTGGCTCCTTTTTTCCCTTGTATTCAAAGAAAATATTCTTTTATTATTAAACAAAAATAAAAACCCAGGACTCTGTTTAATCTAAGTAATTCAGTTTTTCAAATTCTTATATTTACCTAAAGAGTTAGATGTAATAACAACTCAGAAAGTCTTGTTGACTTGTCACTAAAATGTAAACTATCATTTGCAAAGTAAATATAGAGAGTTACAAGCTTATTTGTATGAAGCTACTTTTAAAAATTGAACTTAACTTTGAATTTCTCACATTTGTATTTAATGTTATAGTTTGGCCTCATTCCAATTTAATTTTCTTACGGAATATCTGATTCTACATATTAATAGCATATGTTCTTAAACACATAAGCATGATATTTGTAATCATGGAAACCTCATTTATATGAGGTTATGACCACTTTTATTCTAATAAATATGTAATAGTGAGTGTGTTTATAAGCAGGAAATAATTGAGGGTTTCCCTCTTGTTTGAAACAGAATTGGAAAAAGACATATTTTGGATAATTAAGGACTTGTGTGCCGATCATTGCCCTATACATGAGGTTAATACTTTTTTGTATAGCTTTATTTTTTGTGTGATAGTTATTGTGGAAATGCCTCCCTCTCAATATTTGCACTTAAAGTAACATATAACATACTCTTTCTGGTAATCTAAATGTTATACCAACATGGAATCATTTTCATATACCTCATTAGAGTTAAGGGGCCACATCAGTGTTAGAAGAGGTAAGCAATATGAAAAGGTAAAATATACCATGCAAAGTCAACATGAGGCAGGTTGATTCTGGAATGACCTAAACAAAATCTTTTTTATAGTAATGTTCCTACTCTGCTCTAAGCATATAAAGATAATTGGGCTTCAGATGAAAATAAAAATTTGAGAATAATCCTCTGAAAAATTTGTCTAGCTTTATTTTTATTAAAAGGGAGAGAAATACTAAAGACATGACTTGAAGTTGAGTATGTTTTAGTTGATCTGGAGGTGATGCTATGATGATTTAGACTTCAACAGAAGCAGAAGTGGCACCATTGACTTTCAAACCAACTTGACTATGCTATACTGCAGAAGGCCGGAGGAGGGTGACTGCTAAAACACAATCAAATTAGAACTAAGCTACTAATCTTTATTAAGTTTTGTTTTAAAATAGGTATTTAGAAATGTAAAATGCTTGTGGAAACTGCAGAACTAAGTAGTTCTATTAGAACTAAGTAAGTTAAAGAAATTGAATGAAATTATTAATTTACCTATAAATTACAGTGAAATTATTTAACTATTTTAAATTAAAGAAAATAACCTTATTTAGCATGGGAGATTTCAGCCCAGCAGTCATTCAGTACATGAATATAAACAGAGTATCTGTTTTTGTAGATCTCCGTTTAAAAATCCTCCGAGAAGATAATACATGTCCTGGATCACTGCATATAATCAAATGGTAAGTATTTGAAATTTCTGAAAAGTTGAACATTTTTATCATGATGGACATTACCCATAAGATTTTTATTCATCCTTTTTTTTGTCTCTCTCTTTTAAACAATTTCCTAGTAATTTGTGACAATTACTTAATATTAACATAATGGTTTAGTTTTGTTCTTGAAATAAAATAGAATTATATAATCAAAATTTGATTACTCATTGTGTGCATGTCACATGGGAATAAGAAAGAAAAATAAGATGTGATTGTTTTCTTACATCAAAATTGCTCACCTATAATAAAGTTTTATTAACATATTAAAACATGCTTAGGAGGCTGTGTTCAGGAGGCAGGTTTCAGAATGTGCCATTGGTTTTAAAAATGATTATATATTCCTGAGTGTTTTTGTGTACATCAAAAAAAAAAAGAAACAAAACAGAAGGAATAGATGTAAATATTGTTGAATGCATCGAGGGGATTGTAATCATTATTTGATATGAAATATGACAGGATGAGTGCAAAGCTGCTATTTTCCCATGTAAACTGTCACTCAGTGCACAATAAAAGCTTTAAAAAAAACAAAATAAAACATGCTAGGGATTTTAAGGAGCTCTGGTAGCACTGTAGGGTAAACAATGGACGGCCAATCACAAGATCGGCAGTTCCAACCAGCTGCTCTGTGGGAGAAAGATGAGGGTTTCTGCTCTGATGAAAATTTACAGCCTCCTAGGATTGCTATGAGTCATAATCAACTTGGTGGCAGTAAGTTTTTTTAAAATGTTTTGGAAGGATTTTAAAGAAATTATTGAATGGTAAAGATAAAATAGTTCTCAGTTTAACATACTTCAATGCAAAACAAGTAAATTAATTATGTACTTGGGATTTGGTGGAGGCGGGGAGCTTTTTAACAGCTTCAAATTGACAAAACATTTATTTCTTCACAGGATTCGAGGTTGTTTTGATGCATTGGAAAAGAAATATGTAAGAATGTCTTAAAATTTATGCCATAAACACTCATCTCTTATCACATAAAAGTTTAGACTTTTATTTTGTTTTTGTGTTTAACTGTGTGCCAGTGCCTATATTTGCATTCACAACCTAGTTTCCCTTTATATTATGTTATAGTTTGATTTTTTGTTGTTGTTGTCCGTTGATGCCTTATTTACATTAATTAAAAGTGAAGCCCACCACTCATCTGCCAGTTTGTTGCACTGTGGTGGCTTGTTTATTGCTGTAATGCTGGAGGCTATGCCACCAGTATTTTAATTACCAGCAGGGTCATCCCTGGTGGGTAGGTTTAAGCTGAGCTTCCAGACTAAGATATACTAGGAAGAAGGAGAGGCAGACAACTTCTAAATGTTTGTTGATGTTGTTAAGTTCCTTTGATTCAGTTCTGACTCATATTGACCCTGTATAAGATTTTTTGAGGATCAGCTGGTGGATTTGAACTGCCAACCTTGTGGTTAGTTGTCTTGTGCGTATCCTACAACACCACACCAGAACTCCACTGGAAACCGCATGCATAACAGCAGAACATTGCCAGATATAGTGCTGGAAGATGAGTCCCTCAGTTTAAAAGGCACTCAAAACTGACTGGGGAAGAGCTTTCCTTCAAATAAGAATTGGCTATGATAGCATGGATGGGAGTAAACCTTTTTGTTAAGAGCCATCAAGTCGATTCCGACCTATAGCAAGTGACCCTGTATAGGGTTTCCAAGTTTTTCCAAGCTGGTGAGCTTGAACCACTGACCTTCCAGTTCAAATGACTTTGCAGTCTGGCGCATTAACCCACAGCGCCACACTAGGACTCTTTAGGCACCTTCATTTACTGATGGGGCACAACTCAAAATGAGGAGAAACAGCTGCAAATATCCATTAATAATCAAAACAAGGAATGTATGAAGTATGAATCTAAGAAAATTATAAATTGCAAAAATTGAAATGGAATGCATAAACATCAATGTCCTAGGAATTACTGAGTTGAAATGGACCAGCATTGGCTATTTTGATTTCACTTTTTATCTGTTTTACTACCCAGTAGCTTTTAAGCAGGCAGTTATTCAGTTTCTATGTATATGATTTTATTTCCTTGATCTTCCGATTGTTGATTTCTAATTTTATAGCACTGTGATTTAAGAAGATGCTTTGTAATATTTTGATGCTTTAAAATTTATGGAGACTTGCTTTGTGGCCTAACATGTGGTCTATTCTGGGGAATGTTCATGTGCACTGGAAAAGAATGTGTGTTATGCTGTTGATGGGTTGAATGCTCTGTACAAATCTATGAGGTCAAGTTGGTTGATTGTGTTGCTCAGTTTCCTCTGTGTCTCTGCTGAGCTTCTTTCTGGTTGTTCTGTCTTTTTTTGAAAGCGGTGTATTAAAATCTTTCACTGTTATTGTAGAGTTGTCGATTTCTTTCTTCAAGTCTATTAGTGTTTGTTTTATGTATTTTGGGACTTTCATTGGGAGCATAGATATTTATTATGGTTATATCCTTTTGTTCAACCATGAGATTGAAGCATCAATTGAATCTTCTTTGTCTCTTATGCTGGTGTTTTTTTTTTAATGTTTTTATTGTAAATTGAGTGAAAGTTTACAGGGCAGATCATCAGTTTTACATTCAACAAATCATATGCCTTGTTTCATTATAAATGATTATAATTAACAATATTTCTCTCTATTCATTTTAGCTCTTTTCAAAAAAAAAAAAAAAAAAAAAAAAAAAACAACTCAGGCATGTATAATAATTTACACCACCAAAAGGCACATTCTGCAAATCTGTCTCTTGGCTGCCAGCTCTCAGTCCCTTTCTTCCCATGAATCTAGAGTCCTCGCTCCCTCTCTCCATGTTCCCATCTCTACCTCCATTTCTGATGTCACTGATTCTCTGGATTAGGTCTCACATTCCACTTGTGCTCTTCTCCCTTGATGGTCTGTAGCGTCCTCTGTTTCTGGACTGTAAGATTAACCACTCCCCTGTTTTTGTTACAGAAGTACTACCTTTACAATTGTGACAGTCTCAATTAGTCATGATAACAATTACTCACTATTGAATCATAAGAATCTTATCCCCATCTCTTTTTACCAGACCCACCTAGACAAGATGAAGCTATTCAGTGGGAACTCTATCTTCCCTCACACACTCTTAAACTGAATTCCTTATTGAAAGTCACTTCGAGCCTTTATTGCCCCCACATTTTAGGTAGCCAATGTCTAAGTTGCAACAAGATGGCGGATCATATAGCCTTGCAGTAAAGATCTCCATTAGCAATAACAAAGAATACCAGACCAAGCAGGCTCAGAGGATGATGCTAGAACTCTGAACTACAAATAAAGGGATATTTAGAAGCGTGGAAGGCTTATAGCTAGGGGAATTTGAGCAGAATCAAGAAATCCATTGCATTTTTAGTTCAAGAGGCTCAGCTGCTCCTGGAGCCATCACCTTCAGAGAGACCAAGCAGGAGAAGGATCAAAACAGCCATGAACGCCTGACAGAACTGAGGAGATACAGGTGTGGACATTCTTTTTTTTGGTATCTGTTCATTGGTCTTTCGCTGTCTGTGCACCTCCACTCTGGTGACTAGACGGGATGCCTGAGTGAATAGACACCCCACCCATACCCCTGGAGGGTTCTGCTATGCATGCGCACAGATCTCATAGAAATTTAAAATGACAGTTTCCACTTAAAACCAAATGGCCACCACTCATCTGTCAGTTTGGCATACTGTGGTGGCTTATGAGTTGCTGTGATTCTGAAAGCTATACCACTGGTATTTTAAATACCAGCAGGGTCACCCATGGTGGACAGGTT